ATAAGTCCTAAAAAAAATATTTGGTCAAATTGAGGTTATCTTAAAATAGCACATAACCCGTGCGATGCATGGAGAAACAATATTAATTATAATATTAAGTGTAATATACATTAACACACGTATAGAATTATAATAGAACACAACCACATGTGTGTCTACATATTTGAAAATGAAATTGAAAACACAACCGTTTGCTTTTGAAAAATTACACTGTCAACATAATATGAATGAATATTTTGATATAATATGTGTGTCCCGATATTTTTTTTATAAGAGATGCTCTGGTCAATTTTTGTTGGTATAATCAGTGGGTCTTGATTTAGTTCATTTTTTGTTATGTCATTTTTAATTAATTTTTTTGTGTGAAATGAAGTGTTTAATTTTTTTAGCATGATAAAAAGTGTCTCGATTTTTTTGGTACAAAATATTTGAACAATAGTATGACCGATTATTTTAGAATAAATGCGTGTCTCCATTTTTTTCTTTTGTAAGCTTTGGGTTCGATATTATATTTTTTTATGAGAAACCTGAATAATAATATGACCGATATTGTTGGTATAAATGATTGGAGTGGAAGTCAAAATTCCAATGAGATCTTATAAAAATGGCATTGTGTAGAGTATTTATCATTATTTAATAAAAAAACTTTCACAATTTCATTTCACCATGGCCAAATTGATGAAACAAGAAAAAAAAAAATGTGCGAGATCTACATAAAAAATTTGATATTGTCGATTTAATTCAATTTACCCGATATAATCAAATTATTAATTGAACATGAGGTGCGAATTCAGTCTAATCAAGGATGTCACTAGAACTAAAGAGCTACATATGATTTTGCATATGATTCGAATAATCGAACACAAATTTGAGGCTGAATACAAGAATTACTTGAAATCCTATTTCACGATGAGGACTTCCGACAGATCCTCCCGATTATTTCAAAGGGGAGCTGTCAGGATATTGTGAATGCTGCAATTAATTCTTCCAGTGTACGGGATGATTATACTTTATTGAGGCTTACAAAAAATATGGGCCTTCAGAGCATTGGCTTACAGATAATGATATTTTTGTCCGATCTCCACAACCCCGAGTTTTTAATGCTATTAGATGTTCTGGAGTGTCGGACCATGAATTGAATCTTAAGATAGGAACCACACTCCTATTGTTGCAGAACATTGATCCTTCTATGGTATTGTGCAATGGTACGAGATTGATTATCACAAAGCTCTCCACTCATGTACTTGAATGTATGGTATTGACTGGATCTAATGCAGGAGAGAAGGTGTTGATCCCTCGGATGACACGTTCCTACGTTAGAGCACCTTTCAAATTTCAGTGGAGGTAATTTCTTCTAATGGTTTCTTATTTCACGACGATCAACAAGAGCAAGGGTCAGTCTTTATCACATCTTGACATATTCTTGAAGAAGTTGGTGTTCAGTCACGACCAGTTGTATGTAGTTGTTTCCCGTGTCACCAAAATCGAAAGAGCTTAAAAATATTAGTTTGTGGGAGGAGGACTGTATGCCCACATGGCAAAAAATGTTGTCTACAAGGAGATTTTTAATAATATATAATATTATTTTTTATTCAATTTATTTAATTTTTTTATTCACGAATATAATAATAAGGTTAGGTAAATAACCTTAAAACTGTGCACCCCGTGCGATTCGTACTAGTTTATTTAATATAGAGAAGGACATATTTGGTACAAAAACGTTTTGGGGCGTGATTTGATATAAATAAAATCAATTTTAATTGAATTGATTTGTTAAACTGAGTTAATTCAAAATATAGTTAATTGAGTGGAGGACTGAACGATATTTTAATTTTGTATTATAATAATATTTAAAATATAATAACTAATATTGATGTGATGTAAAGGTAATATATGTTATCGAGACTGGTAATTAATTAAAAATATATGAGTGGATGAATAGTAAATTAGAGTTGATATGATGTGTGATAATGATTGATTGATATTATTTAATTTTATTGATAATATTGATAAGAATTGTATTAGATTAAATTTGAGTTGGATTATTTAAATTTAGTGAATTTGAGTTAAAGAATATAAAAAAAATTATTACATAAATTGATTATATATATTATAGTCAATCGCGTCCTAACTTATAAATTGGGGATAATAGATGAATATGCGAATAATTGAATATTATTAACTCAACAACAATGGATAGTTTATAACTCCCAATCATTTCAACAATAAAATATAAATGGTCAACATAAATATATTTAATTATAATAATTAATTGTTTACTAATAGTTAATAAATTTATTATAAAGTGGTTTATGCAAAACTGTCGCTAAATAAAAATAATAGTCAAATTATATAAACTTATCATTTGTAAAGCATGTACAATCGTCTTTTAATAAAAAAAAAAAGTTCCTATAAATATATATTAAATTATTGTTATGGAACCAAAAACTAATCTAAAATTTTATTTACCAATCATCTCAAATATAAAATCTAAATGGTCGAATCTTTTAATTCATATTAGACTTCTAATTTTATCTCAAATCACTCGTTACCACTTACCAAACACAACCTATATTACTAAAAAGGACAAAACATACCGATCCAAAAAAAAAAGGACAAAACAATTATGATATTGAAATTCGGAGTGAATATGTATCTATACTTATATAATAAGAATTAACATTTATCCAAAATAGTAGGTCAAATTATCGTCAATGTCGGATTTGCATTAAATATTTTTCAAAATCGGTAAGTTTTTGTCCTTTTCACACTTCTCATTAATTATGTCATTTTCACACTTCTCATTAATTATGTCCTTTTCACACATCTAATTAATTCTTTAATTACGACATAATTATCATAAATCATTCCATCTGAGCTTTTATCGTTAAAATGTATAGCGATCTGTTATGACATTATCCATTGATATTTCCATGAAGCGTCCTTATCGCGTTCTATTTTTTGGTAACCACTCTATATCAATAACCAGATATTTGGTTAATAATAGCACACGTCTTTATTTCAAGGAGCGGATATTCTTTGACCTTTAATTAAACAAGATCTCAAATACCTTTCTATAAATAGAACTCTTTGAAGCCCTCGTATTCGTATAGGAGGGTACGCGCAAGTCCCCAGAAGAGTTTAGAAATAGATTCCAAAGTAAAACAGTCTGAACTGATTGTCTTGACTTTTCAATTTTTAAAAACTCTTTTATTAAATATTTCGGCTTAAGATTCGGATTTCATTATACAAGTCATCGGATTGTTTGAATGAAAATGAATGAAAAGAACACAAAAAACAGGTAGCCTTATTCATATAACCAATCCTAAAATATTAGTCTGTTCACCAAAAAGAGACAAATTCTAGAAATCCTAAAATATTAGTTTATTCATCAATCCTAAAATATTAGTTTGTTCACCAAAAATATTAGCTTGATTTTTAGGATTTGTCTCTTTTGAAAATATTAGTTTGTGATAATGAGGAGTTACCAAATAATCAAACTCATAATGTTGTGTACAAGGAGGTTTTTCATAATATATGATTGTTACCGAACTTTTTTGATTCAAGTATTTTAATAATTTCAATTTCGATCCTAATGCACGTGAAGTTATATTATTCTTCCAAATTTTACATCCCGTGCATCGCACGAGTTACGTACTAGTTGAGTTACGATAAAAACTACCAAAATAAAGTTGTCGAAAATATTGATTTACCTAGTAATTAATTTAACTATTTACGAAGAACAAAACAAAATTTGCATTGAGCAATTGAGTCTGTGGGCAGAAAGTATCATATTTGCCTTTTCCACTTTTCCACTTCGTGTTTTAATTTTTATGTAAGTAAAATGTTTTATTCCATTCAAATTACTACGGAGGACCTTTATTCCCAACGCTACGAATATGTCCTCGTTCAATGTATCCAGGTTTGGGTTAACATCTCGAAATTCGCCTTTGCAAGACCAAGTTCGCTTCAGAATGTAAGACCGAGTCGCTTCATCTCACGCGCCAATGTGCGCGTCATGACATTTTATGGCCTCGTCCGTGTGTAGATGAACTGTCATGTCCCTAGGCCATTTACTAATTGTTTTCAAAATCATACCTAATCGGACGGTCTGATTGGATGAATCGAAAATCAGTTTAATCAATCGATCTGATTTGCTTGAATAAAACGTTACTAGTGAAAGTGAGCCGGTCAACACGAGTTAGTCAATTGGCATGATGGACATAAAGAGAGCGAGGACAACACACGAATTCAAGCTCTGTCGGACCATTACATGCTGAAGGAGTACGTCCACTTAACGACGCAGTTCCTCATGTTCAGTCGGGCTCATACGATATTGTGGTCGGTTAGGTAGAGACACGCCTGGAACTAAATCAATCTGATGCAGAATATCACGTAATGATGGTAGGCCACTCAGCACGCCCTCCAGAAAAGACGTCAGAAAACTCCTCGAGCAACGGTAGAAACACTTTCAGAGGGCACGAATCAACCGCCGCCTCACTGCCCAGGATGAGAAGAACAAACGAGCTGATCGTATTTCCGGGACGAAAGCTACGCTGGAGAGAAACAAGACAGGTAAGGACGTCTGCGACAAAAGAACATGAGACAGAGACAGATGCAGGATGATCTTTATACCCTGAAAGAGAAAGCTGTAGGTACTAAGACGACCATCGCGAACAACTGAGAGATCAAATTGCTATGGACGCCACAACAGGAGATAACAGACATCCAACACGTCGCACCATGCTGAATCCTTATAAGGCGTACCAATTAAAAATGAGACAAACACATGATGATCGATCGTAATTGAATTACCACGCTGGATCAACGCGAGCATATATGGATGAGGATGTGGCTCACTAGGAAGATGTATTTTTTCAACGACCTCCAGTGCCGCAACATTCTCGTAGGAGCCCGAGTCAATGATAAAGTGACACATCATTCCGCCAACCATACACGTCGATTGAAAATATGGTGAAGTTGTACAGTATCTTTAGAGGATGAACGAGGTGCGAAATAGGAGCTATGAAGAACAAGCGTCAGACCGACGTCCCTGATCAAGTGATCCTCAGCCATAGGGTCCTCATCATAAAAAATGGGCGGACCCTCTTAATCAGCCAACCATTGCTCCTCCACGAGTAGTGCGCGCGGATTGCCTGACTTCGGACAAGCAGTCTGCCGATGTCTCGACTCACCACGTGAGAAGCAATGCAAATTTGATTGTGGTTCAGGCCTAACCGCCAGCGTGGAACTCGCTAGTCAGGTAAGGGACGCTGCTTGAGACGTGCCCGCCACGGGCTACGTAGGTGGGATGAAAGAGCTAGTCGACTGTCGAGCCAACTATTGTTCCACTAAGAGGGTCCATTGATGTGCATAAAAAATAGACTCCATCACAAGAAAAGATTCAACATATCTTGGAAGGGTAACCACAACCCTCCAATATATCGCGACACCAACTGGTCCGTTGTCTCACAAACATCCATGCGAGTGAAAAGCTGGTAGAGTTCCATGATATAATCATTAACCGATTGATTACCTTAACAGAGATTCTGTAAACATTGGTAGAGCGTGCGAACATAATTTTACAACAAAAATTTGCGTTCCACGTGCTTGCAAAATTTTGATGAAGTCATCACCTTCGGCTTGCCTGCCGCTGGTGCATCGCCTTGAATTGTTTCCACCAGGTGACAACCCGTCCTTGTAGACACGTCGTGACTAGCTCCACTTGTTGTCCGTCCAAAACCTCTTTGAAGTTTAGAATGTTGTCGACCGTTGCGATCTAGTCCAAGAACTCAGCGGCCGTCAGGGCCTTGAAAAATTTTGGGATTTTGACCCAGAATGATGCCTCCCAACGCCAGTCGTCGGTGAACCGGCCCTTATCCCGCGTGTCCATCACACCAAATGGATTCATCTCAAAGACGGTATCCTTAGATATTCATCGCCAAAGTACGACCGAGGCGATCGGGAGCGGGGTGCCCCGCGAAGAACATGACCCTGTCAATCGCACCCTCGCCTGTGGCTGCCATGTATGGTGTCTGACCCGCAGTATGCGCGCTCCATGTGATCTAGTGTGGCCAGCACCAGACAAATGTCTTCTATCGGCGCTGAAAGTGCCTCCAATTGGCCGCTCGATGCTACAATCTCGGCGTCGCGCCTGTCGCCTGTGGCGTCGTTCCGTTTGGGCGACATTGCGTAAGATTCGTATTGGTTTGTACCAACTGACGTAGCAAAAGTGTAAACGTAAAAGAGAATATAAAGAAAAATCTCAATTTTGTGTATTCAATAAACAAAACAACAACCAGTCTCCAAACAATAGAATAAAAGTCTTAAATAGGATTCTTGAGGAAATCCTACTTATCATAAACTTTCCAACCAAATAAATGAATAAAATAATTAAATACCTTAACTAACAATAAAATAAAAGGAATAACTAATTAAACTAAAGATCCCAAACGATCATGCTTGTCTAAGAAAGCCAACGCAATCTCGTCTCCATCACTTATCTTCCGTAGGATCCGTTCAATACACTCATAGTGTACTAATGTAATTCAGCAATCAAGATCAACCGATACAAATTACACTACAACCTTTCGTGATGGGTTGTTCATTTCCATCTAGGTTGTGGACCACTTATTTATGTTTTACAAGTAAGCGGTAGTATGATTTTCTAACAATCTGTGATGAACCACAATTATCCAAATATAAAACATCAAAACGTAGAAGCATTTAATTAAACATGATTGTCACTCAATCTGTAGTCTTTATAACTGAAAATAGTGTTTATAACGCAAATATCAAGTTTTTTATGAATACCCTAACAATCTCCCACTTAAATTCTTTATTTGAATTTGTTCAAGGATCGTGTTCTTGGTTGTGGTTTAATCGAGCCAATCATTATCATTCTCCGTTCGTGTTTTTCATAGTCATTTTTCCATAAAACAAGTATGTACATACATATCCAACAAGTTTCAGCCTTAATAAAATTTTGAAACATTATATCAAGCATAAGAACAATCTAATTTTATCTAACTCTATACAAATCATCGAGGTGTGTTTGTGCGAGTCACTCGCTGAGGAAGTCGCGTGCTATAGTTAATTAAAATAAAACAAACAAAATTACAAAGAAGTCCTGTGGATACCACAGCCATCACCCCACTCATCACCACCACCGCCTGGCCATCATCCATCCATATTTCTTGTAATATAAATCAATTTTCCGAAAAAAAAAGGCATTTTTTCAGTCCAAAATCTGCAAATCGTTAAATTAAAACCTTCAACGTATTTCCCCTAAATATCTGCAGAGTGTGCACCTAAGCCCTCCATTTCTTCTAGGGCTTTTCTGTTTCTTCTTCATTTTCTTTTCGAATGATGAATTCGTTAGGGGCTGTCAGCTCTTCCATCGTCAAGGACCCCACGCTCCAGATTCCGACGAGCTTCAGTGGCTTGAAAAGCGCTTCCAATTCTCTTCTCCTCGCTAAGCGCCCGCCGGCTTTCCGCGCCGCCGCCGCTCCTCCCTCCTCTGCCATCAGAGCTGTCTCCACGGTGAACCTTTTAGTTTTGTTTGCTCTGTTTTTTCGTCCATTTCAGAAGCTCGTTTTCGATTTTTTTGGTTATTGGAAATGAAATTCACATTTCGTTCTTTCTGATTACAAAATCTCCCGGCGAACTTTTTTTTTTCTTATTTTTTCTTTTTCTTGTTTACGATTTTGCAAGCTCAGTCGGATTAATTGCTTGATAAAAACAAGCTTCAATGTGGTAAACGTAGCACTTTAAGAGGGTAATCTTCTATTTTCGAAACATGAGTTTAGTGTTTTATATGATTGCGCTAAGCAAACATGGGGATGTTTCTGTAATTATCGGTTTGTTTGTTGTGTGAAAGCACTAAGATCTGTTACCACCCTTTAAAAGTTGGTCGCATGCTTATTTTGATTATTAAAAAGTTTTAAATTTTAGCTCTTTAGAGGAAAAGAGGACCAATTGGTATGTAGAGTACCTGTGACATTGGAGAGTACCATTTCCATGCATGGACAATTTGAATTATTTTGATATTTGCTTGGACAAAAATTTCACATTTTCGAAATTTTCTCTCTGTCCAACCATTTAGGTTGTGGATTCTTAATGTAAACAAAGACAATGAAGTTTACATAAATTTTAGGCATGTTTGACAATCTTAGTATAAATTGTATAAATGGACTACCTTTTGTTTTTTCTTTCCCAACTTTTTAGAAATTATGGAGCTTTTTATGTCAATCTTGAACTGTCCGTTTATGGATTGGTTGCTACATTAGAACATGGATTTGTTGTTGCTGCTTGGATTTGTTTTAACAATAGCATTGAAGTTTATTCTGTTTGAACTTTCAGCATTTTCACATTTAACTATTTTCATTTTATATATTTCCTGAACATATTGATCTGATATTGCATCTAATCAATTATTTTCTACTAGCTCTATGTTTCAAGTCTAATGAAAGATTGTTGTTTAACATGAAGAGAAATGCTATGGAGCCAATGGTTGGCTCCTTTATGGAGCCAACCACCAATGTTATAGTGCCACGTAGGCCATGTGAAAAAATAATTAACTCCACATGGTCTACGTGGCACTATAACATTGGTGGTTGACTCCGTAAAAGAGTCAACCATTGACTCCATAGCATTTCTATTAACATGAAATAGCTTCCCTGATTTTTCAAAGTGATGATCTGATTGATCTCATTCCATTCCTGACAGTAAACGATTTATAGCATTCTCTGTTTCCCTGTTTCCTTCCCCTTTTTACTTTTCGGTGGCTGAATTTTATACACTCAGGTATTTCCACCCCTTGTTAGGCCAACATTCATAAAATTATCTCACTATGTCTACTTTTCTGCAGCCCGTGAAGCCGGATACAGCTGTTGAGCAAAAACGAAGCAAGGTCGAGATCTTCAAAGAAAACAGCAACTTCATAAGATACCCTCTAAACGAGGAGCTATTAACTGATTCCCCCAACGTAAACGAGGCCGCAACACAATTAATCAAGTTCCATGGCAGCTATCAGCAGTACAACAGAGACGAGCGTGGGACCAGGTCTTACTCTTTCATGCTCCGCACCAAAAACCCTTGTGGAAAGGTCTCGAACAAGCTCTACCTCGTCATGGATGACTTAGCCGATCAATTTGGGATCAAAACCCTTCGTCTGACGACGAGACAGACCTTTCAGCTCCATGGAGTTCTGAAAAAGGATCTCAAGACTGTAATGAGTGCCATCATCAAAAGCATGGGGTCCACACTCGGCGCATGTGGGGATCTGAACAGGAACGTTCTTGCCCCAGCTGCTCCGTTTTACAGAAAGGATTATTTGTTTGCACAAAAGACTGCGGAAAATATTGCTGCGCTGTTGACTCCTCAGTCAGGCTTTTACTATGATATGTGGGTGGATGGGGAAAAGTTCATGACTGCTGAGCCTCCGGAGGTGGTGAAGGCCAGAAATGATAATTCGCACGGCACGAATTTCCCAGACTCGCCTGAGCCAATCTACGGAACTCAGTTTTTGCCGAGGAAGTTTAAAATTGCTGTGACTGTGCCGACGGACAACTCGGTGGACCTTTTTACTAATGATATTGGTGTTGTTGTTGTCTCTGATGCTGATGGAGAGCCACAGGGGTTTAACTTATACGTAAGTTNCTTCTTTTACTTTACTTTCTTTTCATTTTTGCTGCCACAGCGATTAGGGATATTCATTAAAAATTTAGCCGGATTACATAGAACTTCTGTTATTTGATCGAAATCTAAATATTATCTGGTCTGCCCTGGGTTTGCATGCATCTAACTAGTATCAGCGAAATTACAATTTTGGTTTTGTAAAGTTGGGGTTCTTCAGTTGGGATGTGTAATCCTTTTGAATACACGTCTGCAAATTGGTTTCAAAATTCTAAAAGAAAAGAATACCATTATTTTGGCCCTTAACCACTGGAAAGTACTAAGAGTGGCCAGAGTGCCATTCTGGCACTAAAAGCTTTGTACCAGAACATGGCCAGAATACCTTTCCGGCACTTAGAGCTGTCACTTAGAGCTGTTGTGACATTGTTCTGGTCTTCTATTTTCTTTCGACCGGGTCAGTCTGGAACACGTTGCAGGTGTGAATCTTGAGTCCTTTTAGTATTAGTTGGTGATTAAAAGACCAAAAGATATATATTTTTTAATTCTTAGTTTTTAAAAATTACAAGATCATTTTTCCAACATGTGGTATATTGTATAAACAATATCACATTTGCAAACCCCGTGGAGTTTATAGGGCCGATGTCACACCCCCTTGTTGAAGTTGCAATCTGTAAGAGCGAATAAACATTAAATGGGTACTTATTTTTTAAAATGATAACTGTGGCACTTTTTGTTTTTCTTCTTTTTTTTTTTCCCTTAAAATTGGGCTGAACATTATGAGTTGCAAACTCAGTCTTAAAATTATTTCGAGCATGTTGTTTGTCTTAACTCTTAACGATGTTGGTTCAATCTATGACAACGGTTGCAGGTAGGTGGTGGGATGGGAAGAACGCATAGGCAAGAGAGCACCTTTGCTCGGCTGGCAGAGCCTTTAGGTTACGTGCCGAAAGAGGATATCTTATATGCAGTGAAGGCCATCGTAGTTACACAAAGAGAAAATGGTAGAAGGGATGATCGAAAGTACAGCAGGATGAAATATTTAATCAGCTCATGGGGAATTGAAAAGTTCAGAAATGTTGTTGAACAGTACTATGGAAAGAAGTTCGAACCTTGCCACGAGTTGCCTGAGTGGGAATTCAAAAGTTACTTGGGATGGCATCAGCAGGTCCGAGATATTACGATTACATTTCTGATCTCTAATTCAGTTACATTTTACCAATTTAAGTTTGTGTCATTTCTGTAATCCAGTCTGTGAAGCTTTTCTCTTGTCATCTTTGTATGTCTGTTCGTTTGTAGGGTGATGGTGGATTATTTTGTGGCCTCCATGTTGACAGTGGTCGAGTCAAAGGGGTAATGAAGAAGACTTTAAGGGAAGTAATTGAAAAGTACAACTTGAATGTCCGTATTACACCAAACCAGAATATTATCTTGTGCGATGTCAAACAAGCATGGAGACGCCCCATCACTACTGCTCTTGCTCAGGGTGGTCTCCTGGTGAGATTTTCTGTGATTTAAAATTATAATGTAATTTGTAATAATGTCTCAGTGTAGAAGGGAAAAATAAATAGGTAACTATCTATGATGATGAATGGATTATTTGTTTTATCACTGTATGACTGTATCATGAAGGTATGATATTAAAATAAAGAGGAACTCAACCACTGTTTTTATTATGAGCCTATTCTATGTGGTTTTATAAACTCGTACTTGCAGGAGCCTTAATCTGTTATTTATTTATTTTTTTTTATTTTTTATTTTTTATTTTTTGTTTTTGGTTGATCTTTATTTTGTGTTTGTTTTCCTTTTTCAATTTGTTGGAAATGAAACTAGGCTCAGATCTGCCTTTTTTTTCTTTGGTAAATAGGAAAGGAGAAATTTTTATATTATCTGCAGGAGCTCAGTTACAGTTATAATATCGTTCTTTTGAAATTTAACTGCTCTTTGAGATTTCTTGAGATGCTAATGAGAGGTCTTATGTAATTTACTAATAATTCATTTGCTCAGCAACCAAGGTATGTAGATCCTCTTAACGTGACAGCTATGGCTTGCCCAGCCATGCCACTCTGCCCTTTGGCCATAACAGAAGCTGAGCGTGGAATACCCGATATCCTTAAGCGGGTCCGGGCTGTATTTGAGAAGGTTCCAATCTATCTCTTTATTCTTGAAAGAAAAAGAACAGTTATCCTTGAAAATCACAAAACCTTGAAATTACAAACAAGCCCATTGAGGTTTCTATAAATATCAAATATATACCCCCATGTAAAGAAACGTAGTAATTGTATTTCCAGTAGGTAATTGTTTTTTAATCTTTTCAACGAGATTTTGCGTTGGGTAGTTTTTGTAATCAAACATCAGCTAAGATAAGACAATCATTGACATTGTATTTCTAGGTTGGTCTCAAGTATAATGAATCTGTGGTTATAAGGATAACTGGTTGCCCGAATGGTTGTGCTAGGCCATACATGGCTGAGCTTGGCCTTGTTGGTGATGGTCCAAATAGTTATCAGGTAAAAATGAGTTTCTTCATTGAAATTTTGAATTAGAAACCCTGGTGAAAAAAATTTGACCATGACTGAAAATGGTTCTTTTATTGTTTCCAGATTTGGCTTGGAGGGACGCCCAACCAAACTATACTGGCTAAAGTTTTCAAGGATAAGGTTAAAATTCAAGATCTCGAGAAGGTTCTGGAACCTTTGTTTTATCACTGGAAGAGCAAGCGGCTTTCTAAAGAATCATTCGGCGACTTTGCAAACCGTGTGGTATGCAATTTATGTGGATAATGTTACATATGTTTATTATGATGGCATTCCAAAAACTTTTCTAGATGACCATCCATAGTTTTTGATAAATGATAGGATATTTTGGAACACTATGCTTGAGGTGCAACCCAGTTATTTATAAAAAATATGATCCTAATTATCCCTCAAAATTACAAAAACCACCTTGATTTTTGTTTATGTGCTACACGTAACACATCTACCTATTGAGTGTGTTTTTGTACAACAAGTAACAAACTCAGCATTTTTTTATGTTTCTTGTTTTGGTATTATGAATAGATAACTGAATTTTTAGTGATTAAGGAAAATTGCAGTGGTCGTAAATTTCTGTTTTCTTTTATAAATCTGAAAGACATATTAATGAATTAAATACCCGCTGCTATTTGTTTAATTAGGGCAATGAGAAACTTCTAGAACTGGTGAACAAGTGGGAAGGTATACCAGTTAATGCATCACACTACAACCTAAAGCTTTTTTCAGACAAAGAAACATATGAAGCGATGTACGCCCTAGCCAAGCGCCAGGACAAGACTGTCTATCAGCTTTCCATGGAGGTAATACGCAATTACGTGGCCTCCCAAGAAAATGGTAAAATCGAGTGAACAACTCTCGAGGATTTAATTCCGTTATCTTCCTTGCTGAGTTGACTCGAGCATGAAAATAGCTTAAATTGGTTGTTACCCGTCGGTAAACAGCTGTTGGACGTGGTCAAAAAGCCGTATCATGTTGTATCTAGATTGCGGGTATTTTCTGACTTTCCTTCTTTTNCGGAGTGTGTTTTCTTGGCATTATAAGGAATTTTTCGGAACTTGTTTGATTGGCTAAGAGGCTTCCATTCAGGTTAAGCATTGTGGGCTTAATCTTTTGGTGGATCTTGCCACTATTTTGTTGGTGACATTGCAAGCTTTGTGAAATTCTGTTACAATTCAAAAGCATTGACATTGGGCTTATATAATGCAATAATCACATGGCTATGTACTGCTCTTTCTGCATCATATGTGATATCATTTTGAGTTATTTTCTCACAATTATGTGAATTTAGGTGGGACAAATGAAACTCTGACTTAGGTTGACGAATGCCACACTGTAAGGCTTATAGTAATATCTCACACAATTCCTTGCGCTTGAATAATCTCTTCATTTTCCTATCGTCTTGAAAAAAAAAAAAGAAAGAATAATCTCTTCATCATATATTAATACAGAATGTTTGATTTTGTGTGTAGGTTTTTGATACTTGTGTCGACTTGCGGTGATTTGTACACTTATGTGTGTGGCTTGGAGTAGTGACTTCTATCCATGCCTATTAGGAATTTTAAATTATAAAACACTTGACCAGCTTAAATTACAAATATATTTTAAAAGTTAAAAGCTTTCATATTTACTATTAGATATTCATGTATGATATATCTAATTAATCTTCTCATAACTTCAATATTGCATATATAACTAAATATGTATATTTACTTTTATAATAAAAATTATATATCAATATTAATTGACAAATAATAAAATTATTAATCAATTAAATTGTTATACAATATGACTTAAATAAGTTATTACATATAATAGAACTTAAAAAGATTATTATAGTATTATCAAGTGTCATTTAAATATAAACTAGTACAGAGCCCGTGCGATGCACGGGGTGCACAATTTTAAGGCTATTTATCCAGACTTATAATTATACACATGAATAAAGAAAAATGTACGGAATATATATAATACGTGACCCGCGAGATATATTTATTTAGAGAATATTATATTATAAGATGCAATATTCAATAAAAGTTTATAATACGCAAGAAATTGTACGATGTTCAATAAAAATTTTATAATATTCAAGTGGAGTCTTAAAGTCTCTTGTACATTAAGACTACTGACAAAATAATATTTTAATCAATGAGTTTCATTTCCTTGTAGCCAAATTGTGAATGTGATTTGAGGAGTACAACAAATCGATATATAGCTGACTTGTTTTTTTCATTGTAGTTTTTTTTTTTTTTTTTCTTTTTATAATGAATTTAAAGATATTCTAAAATATAGCAAAAATTAATTTTTTTATTACAATTAGGAATTTTACTAAATATAAACTCTCAATTTATGGTGTTAATCAACGTTTACGTCTAAAAAATTAGGAATTTTTACCTCTTTTAATCAACGTTTAAGTCTAAAAAACAATAGAGTTATTATAAGTTTTTTTTCTACATCTTTTAAGACATTAAATATGAGTATGTTAGGGCTAGCTTGTAAAATAATTAATATATTATCTCACTAAAACATTTATACTAATAAAAATTTAATTTTAGCATATAAATTTATCCCTTGATATAAGAGAAAGTAGCAGTTTTACTTATTGTTGTTCACCATATAATATTTAATTATTATTTTATTATATAATAAAAAAAGAATATTGTTAAATAGTGTAGTAGAATTGTTATATAATTATATGATTTTTTTTTACAATATGGATTTAATATTTTTTATGATTTGATAATATAAACAAATCTATATTTTGTACATGAATTTTTTTAATTTGAATTTCAAATGATTGACCGCCACTTTTAAAAAATGTTTAAAAAAGTTACTGATAAAGGTAAAATTGAAATTTTTTGCGGAATTTTAATTACTATTTCAAATTAATACAAACTTATATATATATACACATTTATATATTTGGAATTTGTTATACTTTGATTTATATGTTAGTTCTAGAATATAACATTTCAATTTAAAACTTAAAAGTATACGGAAAAAAAAAATAAAAATGATTGTCCAATCTTTGGCTTTGCCTAAAGATTGGCTTACTATTGTCAAATAATTGAATCCAAATTCTCTGGCCAATGTAAAAATGCAATTCTAATTGGTTGACTTGCAAAACATCAAGTCCACGTTAAAATTAATTAATCGCCCATCATATGCAATAAAAAAAGATTTTATTTTTTATTTTTTATTTTAATTTTTATTTTTTACAGGAACGATTAACTCTTTACTGATAGAACAAAACAAAATACAAAAGAGTACCAAATCCACCCAATCTGAGTTTTACAAAACTTTAACTCAGATGGCTACCCCAAACCAAACAGAACAAAAACCCAGCTAAAAAGAAGGACAAACGTAAAAAAAAAAGGTCAAAGGCACAAATGGAAAAACTAAAGCCCCATTAAGAACAAAAACTAAAGCATGTACATCAGGTATTAATAAAAACCACTGGAAACAACATTTTCCCTAGTCCATCGGCACCCTACCAGAAGCAGAAACCCCTACAAAAGCCAACCAGACCCTTATGGAAAAGTCACCTCGAGCAACTAACAAAACTGCACGACCGAAGAAACATTTGAGCAAAACAGATATTGAGCAACCACTCTACTGATTTCCTAGCCAGCAACATCCAACAAAAGAAAGAGGTCAAAGAAGTTTTGTTTGTGATGCCATCACAAATTTCAACTTCACACCCTACGGTAATGAGAATGACAAATGAACAAATTGATTTAAAAACCAATATTTCTCCTCTATTGGGCATTCTTAAAAATTAATTAAAATTTGAATATCCATTAATGTGCAAGCGCAGACAACAAAATAAAAAGAAGACTTGAAATACTTTCAAGACTTTGAACATTTTCTAATACATTTTTCAGAATCGAATGTCGTAAAAATGTGCAACAGAACTTTGCACCAAGAAAGAAAGCTTCCTTTTTCTTATTTTTTTTTTCTTTTTCCGCTGTCCATACCAAACTCCTGTCATGGGACTGTATATCAACTTCCATATTCAACAATTTGCTCATCATATTCAACAATTGGCTTTGGCGATTGTCCGAGATCTAATCTCGTAAGCACTTCAGGTAATCCAGTTGTATCTCTCTTAATGTGCATTATGCATCGAGAATGTTACAAAAGCAATACATTGGAGATAAATCAAGAACTCCAATGAGGACCTAAGATTACCATAATTTTCAATGTGTGAAGAACACTCAGTCAAGAACTAAATATTTCAATAAACTTGCTGAAAATATGGTTCATATTTGTTTGTTTCTTGAGTCCATAAGTTACATGTGCATTACACTTGCAACCAACTCAGAAAATTAATAATCTATAGACAATTTAAATTTAGCATTATTCGATTGAAATCAAGTTCTTTTGCCCCCACACAATGCCCAGTAAGTGATTATGTAGAACTTACCAACTACGCCCATATCGGTTAAGGTCATAACCACAATTGCATCCCCTCATAATAGCTAAATTACCAGTGAAAACACATTCACAAGATAAGAAGCCCTTACTGTTTACCAAGTAGTTCATAACAATAATCAAGAATCGAAAAATAATCGCAACCAACCAGATATAATGTAACATAACTTTCTCAAATCCCAAAGCCCAAAATTAAAAAATATTAGAATTTGTAAGGTGACCTGAAATGGGATACAAGCCATGAAAGATTCTCCAATTTCACCATGAACTATCGAGTCGCCTTTTTTGAAACTTTTCAGCCAATTTATGCCTAAACCCGTCATTATTTACATCCTGCACGAACAGTATCGGTTTTATATTTTCACCATATCCACAAGAACCACATAAACATGCACAAAACACATTCAAAGTGCGTAAAAATCAGGGTATATGAAGAGAAAGAATGAAATTTTACCCACTTCTTCTGCTCCACTGCTACCACGAACCTGTCGTCCCCGTCATCCAGCGGCAACACCATGAACACAATGTGGCCTGTTCATTCTCTGCTCCGCGTAGATCGGCCACCCAATCATCGGCATCCCGCACATCACAGCCTCCAGGATGGAGCTCCGTCCGCAGTGGGTCACGAATCTGGCCACTGCATGTTCCAGCACCACTCTATGTGAGGCCAACGACTTTATCACGTAAGTCTTGCCCTTCGTCCTCTCCAGAAACCCCTTCGACTGCAATTTGCAGATCAAACACATAAATTATTTCTGAGCCAAATAAAAAATGGAGGCAAGAATCAAAATCCATTAACTACACCAACCAATTGACAATTGAAATTTGCACATCAAAACAATAAATTTACCCTGACGAACCCGCCGTACTTTATCATCTGCTGGAATTCGTCGATGTTGACCCTTCCGTCGCCACCTAAGTCGACCTTAGTTCATCTGCCGTGATGAACCCGCCACGTCCCAATCGAAAACCTTAAATGGCTCCCGCACGTCCTCTTCACGGCCGTCCCCCTCGTCGCCTCCGCTGTTGCCATCACCGGGTGTATAGGGCACTGAAGAAAACCTTAAAAGAAAGTGGATGGCTCACCGGGAAAGGAGAATCATTAGCCTTGAAATATCCAAATCTCCTCTTGAAATCGACCGGGTTCAAGGCGGTGGCGACAACCTTAATCAAGACCTCATCGTCCTTCACCTCCGGAATCTAGGTTCTGCCCGTCGCATAGCGGCGACGGCTCTGGGACGACGTGCTGGAGCCGACGGAGGCCGCGCAGGAGAGGGGCACCGACCGCTGATTGGGTCTCGCTCGACAGCGCCTTTGTTGTTGGCGAGGAGGGCGTGGATCTGGTCGTCGGAGGGCTTGAGGCCGAGAGACCAGAGGAGTGCGGCGAGCTCGAGCTGGGTGAGGCTACCGTCGAAGTTGTAGTGCTGCCAGATCTTTCTGATTGGTGCTTTGCCAGCGATTTTGGCCGGGAATATTTGGGAATGAAAGAGAGAGATTATCTTTCCTTTTTTTCTCCTTTTTCCTTTTGTGCGGATCTTTTCCTTCAAATTTGGATTAAAAAAATTGGATTGTAGAAATAGATAAGTCCAAATAAGTTTAAATCAATAAATAAAATCTCCAAAATTTTCGAAATGCATGGGCGGGCGGGAGCTTATTCATTTTTTCACCAAAAATTATGCTAAACTTTAGGCGGGGATTGAAATCTTTTTTTGCTGATTTTCTCCTTGATTTTTTCAAACAACTATCATTCTCTCTTTATATATTAATAGATAATAATCTCAGTTTGTAAGAAAGATTGAAAATGACTTCATTTTATGTATATTTTCTAAATTTGGTCATGATTTTTTTATCAGCATCGTATACACGAATGATTCGTAGCTATTTAGATTTGGAGACTATCAGTACCTATAACGCTTTAACAATTATAAAACATTTCTCTTGATTATAAATATTTTTGAAAGTTAATAATTTTTTTATTTTTTATTTGATTTTTGAATATAATATATTACATTCATCATCTTTTGATGAGTTTCGATTAGATATTCATATTTCGTATATAAAATAAATAAATTTTATTTTCTTTATTATAAAATTAAACGATCTGCTAATACTAAAAAAAATTAATAGAACTATATATCAATTAAGAAAGTCATCTATAATATCATTGTATAATAATTAGAAAAGTTACTTAATATAAGATGAGTAAATCGTAGAAGTGAAAAATTTAATTTTAAATATAAATAATAATGCAATCCTTTAAAAAGTATTTAAATTTTAAATAAAAAAATTTTTCTTTTACATTTTTTAAGAATCTCAGTATAAATTTTTAATCACCACCTATATAATCACGGTGCACTAGTCAACATTATATGAAAATATTAATATATCCCACCAATATTATGTGAAAATAACAAAGTATTCATCCTAATAATAATGAACGCAAGTCGCAGGTATAATAGGATAATAGTAAAATAATGATTAATAGTCATAAATATGTTAGGAAATAATAAAACAATAATTAACAGTTCTTAATATGTGATGTTCCGTTTACGATGTTCAATAAATCAATGTTGATGATCCGTGATATATATTTTATAATTGACTCTGAACAACGTCCGAGATTATGTCCACATGACAAGAATGTTTCTATTAGACTTCCAACTTTGCCCGACGGGACTTGTGATAAAAAAGCTCAAAAATAAGTGATGTTCTGGATATTTTTAGGCCATCAATAACTTCAATCAGTTAAAATTAAAATCAAACATTAGTACACTGTACATTACAATGATATGGCTAGGGATGAGAATTCAATATAAGCACGGGAAACGTATTGTTCTTCTACCTAAGAGCTCACAATTATTTTATGAAGCGTTTGCAAACATTCCTTTGGACTATCAATCTTGAAATTGAATTTGTTCAACTTATGTTGTATTTATTTACACCTTATGCATTTCTATTTTCCTAGGTGCGTGCAAGTATGGAGAGAAAATGGCCTTCTTTTCAAAAGAATTGAGTAAGGGAAACCTCCTCTAAAACTCGAAGACACAGTTTGTCATCAAACCAGTCATTCAAAATTGAAACAAAATTATAAAATGAGAATCATACCAAGAAAAAAGGGCTGCATGAAAGAAAAGATCTCCTTTGATTGAAGAGGAATACCACGTGCTAAAACGTCTACCATTAAGAGATCGAAATTTTTCGATCTTGGCCACATGGAATTTAGAAGCTTTTCAATTTTAACGTCCCCTGATACATCCAGAGCAATAGAAAGATAAATTAAAAAAACACAGGATTTTAGTTATCATGAAAATTTATTTCCCAATACTCCCCACACATAGTTATGCATAACACGGTAAGCAGAGCGTTTTATGTTAAACAAACACGAGCCTAACATATGGTGCTGATACAAAACACAATGAAATAAGGATAGCCGAGCAACTTGAACATCACAAGACCCTCAAATAGCAGATGGGGTATTAAAAAAGTTCTTCTCTTTCAAGCTTTCAACAGTTTCTTTGACACATTCTTCGAGAGAAGTGAACTCAACCCCCAGAGATTTGGCCTTTTCTTTCGACACCTGGTACTTAGGTGCAAATGGCTTGTCATCCACACACCTGAACAAAAAGAAGGAAACCGATAACAAATCAACGTAAACTTCACAAATAAACAAAAAGAAATACTATCATGCTAGAATCATCAATAAAGAGTTGAATATTGTGATGAAAATCCTTGGATTCCCATAGAATATGAAATACAGAGTAAAAATATATATCACGGCAAGGACTTACTTTTGAGGGAGCTTGAGAGAAGGGTAAAGCCCACGCAATATGTTCACAATTTCCGACATGTGTGCAACAGTTTCCACCAGACAATACCTTCCATTAGCTGAAGGATTCTCAAATGCAAGAATATGTGCAAGGGCAACGTCTTTCACGTTCACCCAACCAAATGTAGCATTCGGGTAGGTATCTGCACCTGCGTGTTCAAAATGGGGATCAAAGTTACGGGCATAAAATTCTTAGAACGAAAATTCAAAGACCACAATTCTTTTAAGGGAGCTAAGCATTTGGTACACTAAGCAATTGGGCATTATATGTTTCATAGAGCAACATGTTGCAAGTAACTTGACAAACTAAAATCTCTTATTCGTTCATTTGACAACGTTTATGAATAAAAAATGTATAAAAGAATCTAATGTAAAGATATTGTAAGGAATGGATGACAAATTCAATAAAAGTGATACAAAAATTAAGTAATAATTGATTATAGAGATGAGATCTGTCTGGAAGGTGGAGGGACTAGGCTCTAAGCTCTTGTTACAAGGAACTTACCGTTTATCAAGTTCAAAATTGCAGCAGAACTTGTGTTAAGAGTTGGCTGCAATAATGGACCAATCACCATTGCTGGGTTTATGACGACCATGTCCATACCTCTCTCTTTCACAAATTTCCATGCAGCATCCTCAGCCAATGTCTTTGAAAGAACATACCATAGCTGGTAGATGCAATACGGAAAAAATAAATAAATGAAGGGCTATCAAGAACCAAATATAAAAAAAGTTGATCCAACGAGATTACCATTTTACGTGCATATACTAGCACAATCGGCATTATAAATGAAAAGAAAGTCAGATAGCGAAAATAGAACATTAACCTGCATATTTCTGCAGACCTCAGGGTTAGACCACCAGGTCTCATCCACTACAACTTCAGGCGTTCGAGGCTTGCCATTGAACGCAACTGCAGCTACAGAAGACGTCAAAACAATCCTTTTGATGGATGGTGCTTTTGCGCATGATTGAAGAACATTAAGTGTCCCCTTGACTGCAGGATCAATCAGTTCCGTCTGTGGAAAGTGAAAACTAAATTGAGAAACAACTCTTTGCCCACATGTCATGAAGTTAACAGAACAAACAAATAATTAAACAAGAACTACTAGAGATAATTTTCTCACACCCATTCAACCAAGTGAATAATAATCAATAAGGTAATCTAATATTTCTATCCTGGATGCAGTTTGAATTTAACATATTTTGATGATATTGATTCCCAGTAACTAATTTCAGTATGCAATCCGAAACATAGAGGCAACAAATAAAATTTATTGGGAAAATGGAAGAACCTGTGGATCTTTAACGTTATGGTAAAAAGGAGATGCGGTATGAAAAACGCATTCACAGCCATCAACTAAGGAATCAAAGGACCCTTCTTCAATTAAATTTGCTTTAAACAAGTGAAGTCTCTCCTTGGCTCCATCAAGATCAAGTAAGTGTTGTGTCTTCTTCGGATCACCTGAAAATAAGTTCCAATTTTTCAATATCAAACGAAGTATATAGAACACTAGGATTGGTATTACTTAAAACTTCTAGTGTTCAGCAATAACACCTTATCACAAAGGCGGTAAAGATGATGTATATGGGAGATCATATACGAGAATAAACGAACAATTACAAACGTTAATTTAGCATAGATGTCTTGATAAATTATATCTGAAATTTAACCTATATATAAAAGAAAGGAGCTAAACTCAATAGGAATTAGTAAAATCAATCAATTACACGAGAGAAAACTATGGAGTTTTCATGCAAATGTGATGCTTGCGCACTCCTGAGCTTATAATTTTCAACAGTAACTGAAAACACAAGAACAACTGAATTCATTCTTCCAGGAATCGGTATAATTATTCAAAAGAGATTGTTAAATTAAGAACAGTTAAACCTGGGGAATCAAACAAACAAAGGTATATATTTATATATGACTGTATAACAATAGTAGGACAAAGATCATCTCAAGGTTTCCATCTTCAACATATCTCTCGGCAAAACGAGACAGAAACACACAGGCCACAGATCATCACGCCAAATTTTCATCCATTTACGGCCCAATTTCTACTATAATTCATAGTATGCGACGAAATCTTTCGCAATTACACAAACAACACATCAGATCACTAACAAAACCATCAAATTCAATATTAGTACCATGATCGATTGCCAAAATACAAGGCGAAAACACAAACAAAAAGAAGGCAAAAGAATCGAGGAGAACTAACTGGGATCACGAACGGAGGCCTTGACAGTGTAGCCTTTTTGAAGCAAGAATTTGACCAACCAAGAAGCAATGTAGCCGGACGCTCCAGTTACGCAGACAGTCTTACCCTCACCGCTCATTGTGATTGTGATGATTCTTTAGAAAATTGTTATTATTGCTCTCTCTCTCTCTCTTTGCTCTTACCTTTCCTCTTTTGTTGGTGTACAAAACGTTGGTAAATGTGCAAAGCAGACGGAGTGTGACGATTTTATAGATGGGTTAGGTATGTAGTAGGTCCCAAGTGCTGTTCTAAGCTATGACGTCGTCATTTGCCTTTTCTAAGTGTGGTATCACTCAATGTTCAAATTTGACTTGGTCTTATAATTTAGGACGGTGTTAGAGATTTTAAAAGACATCTTAACATTCTTAAAATTGAGATTTTTTTTAAGATTTTAAGATTTAAAAGATTTTTTTTTAGAAATCTTAGATCACAAGGTACAATTTTACGAAGCCAACAGTTAGCTTCATAGTGGAGCCAATATTCTATATACAACAAGTAAATCCTACTATATTAATAAAATTATTAATATTATTTAAGTAATTAGACAATATGGTATGGTTTACTTGCTGTATATAGAAGATTGACTTCACTATAGAGCCAACTGTTGGCTTCATAGCAAAACTGACAATTTTGAATAAGATTTTCATTTATGAAATCTCAACAAATCTTAAAGAATATTAGTAAATCTCAGTGTCAAATATATTAAATATGTCATAGAGTTTTAAATATCTCAGCTGAATTCTTCACGATTTTTAAAAACCTTAAAAAGTCCAATTTAACTACACCAGAAAGTCCTAGTAATTCTTTAACAAATATCATATATGAATACACCCTCCTACCCTCCTAAGTTTATGGTAAGTAGGTTTTTCTTAGGAATCATATTTAAGAAAGTCCTAGTAATTCTATTGTTTGGAGACTTGTTGAGTTTTGATTGTAATAAAAATATATTGAGAGTTTTCTCTTGATTCTCCTAAATCGTTTACACTTTTGCTACGTAATTTGGTATCAACAGACCAGTACAATTCCTATACGATGTCGCCCAAAAGAACGATGTTGCCGACTACAAGAGCGACGCCATGATCGAGGTGTTGGGGTGCCAAATCGCAGATCTAACCACGATAGTCAAGGAGATTGAAGTAGCTCAACAAGCCGTTGTCGTACGTACTGGTTGAGATACTCGCGGGGCGCCCTGCTCTCAATCACATTTGTTGTTCTTCGGTGACGTTGATCTTGAGGACACCGTCTCTGAGCTAAATTCGTTCGGTGCAATGGCGGCGCAGGACGAGGGTCTGTTCGTCGATGATCGGCGTTGGATGTCATCGTTGAGGGTCAAGATCACCGAATTTTCTTGGGGCATAGAAGCTATCGAGTTCTTCGATGAGCAAGGGTTGGCCGAATATGAGGATCCGTCTCTTTTTCATGACGAAAGATTGATCGAATATGAGGGTTCGCCTCTTTTTGATGACGAGGGGTCGATCGAATATGAGAGTTTGCCTCTTTTTGATGACGAGTACCATATGGCTGAGAAACACTTGACAGGGTCATCGGGCAGGCTCTTGTTCTTCGTCGATCCTATTTGGCTGAGTCCTTTGATCGGAAAGCAGAGTTACTTCCCTCTATTTCCTCGAGCCGACGACGGCCCAATCTTCCGATACAAAGTGAATTTCATGCTCTATCAGAGTTGTTTTGGTCGAGACTATGAAGCAACTCAATCCTAAAGCATACCACCTTCGTTTGTCATCTCATATTCGCACCTCGGACGTCTTCCATGTCAAGCATTTGGTGCCTTTTCACGATGATAATTCCAATGAAGACGAAATTGTGCGGGATTTGAGGGATAATCCTTTTCATGGGGGTGAGAATGATGGAGACGAGATTGCGTTGACCTTTTTGGACAAGCATGGTCGTTTAGCAACGTTGGCTTAATTAATTTATTTTTTTTATTTAGTTATAACTATTAGTTCTAGTTTGGCACGGAGTATACTTAATTATAAGAAAAATATTTATTTTAGTCTTTTACTTGTTAGGAAGTTATTTAATTATTTAGTCTTTTATTTGGTAGGAAAGTTTATGGTAAGTAGGGATTTCTTAGGAGTCCTATTTAAGACTCTTAATTCTATTGTTTGAGAGTTAAGTTGAATTTTGATTGAAATAAAAATATATTGAGAGTTTTCTATTGATCTCACAAATCGTTTACCCTTTCGCCACGTTATAATTAATTATGTCAAATTACTTTTTTCATTTCCTTAAATGGGATACTAATATTTGAAAGTATACCATAACAAAATGAAGACACGATTTTATATCAAATTAAACCATTTAATATAGTAGACTTGATGACTGCAAACTCTACTTTTATCATGTTTGTTGTAGGCAAAGCGGTACTGGTAAAGAGAAAATAAGTTTTGTTATTAAATTATTTCGAAATCTAGTACACTGGCTTCATTATGACAAAAATAAGACTTAACTTTTATTTTACTTTAGTCACTGGGATATTAAATCTGGACTCAGTTTGATGATTTGGGTATTTTGCTTTTGTTTTTTTATTTTTGGGCCGGGCCTATTTTGTTTCCCTTGTCAATCTGCACCTTAATTAAAGGGAGTTGTTCCATATTGGGCCTATTTTCTAGCAACAACATAATATAATCTTCTTAATAATGCATAGCTCGTGCGATGCACGGGACACATATATTAAATGAAGTAATTTTCATAATGCTTGTACGTTTAGGCACAAAATAATAGCGTTGGATCATCAATTTTCCACATCTTTTAATCAGTGATGTTTATTTTAGCCAGAACGTTAACATGTTAATTAATATATTATTCCGCTAACACGTTATACTAATACAAATTTGATTTCAGAATATATATTTATTCGTTGATATAATAAAACATAAAAAAATTCTTAATTCTTGTTCACTATATAATACTCATTTACTGTTTTATTATAAAATTTGTTGTCATATAATGTCATAATTATTATTTACAAAAGTTATAGAAGTAGTCTTCTTCATATTAATTTATGTAATGAAATTTAAAATAAAATTTTGTGTATAAATGTTTACAAACTACACACACATATTTTTTTAGAATTCAATTTTGTGTATAAATGCATTAAATGTTTATATAAGAAAATTTTAAGGTATGCATTAAAATAAAACTTGATGCAATTTTTGATCTATTTATTTAAAATTTGAGAATATCATCTTCAAATATAAATATTTTTGATAATATGGGCCTGCAGTGCATTAGACAATCTAGAGATTCCTAATTGTTCGAATAAGATTTAAAAAAGTTTGAAGATGATCCTCAATTCACGGTCAAGAACGAAAAAAGTCGATCAAGTCTCATGTAATCTTGGCTATTGTTGATGNAAACAAAAAAAAAAAATAAAAATGAGAGAGAGTTGTCCAAGATCTTTATTTTAGTACAGAAAATATAGTGAGGGTGCATACTTATTGCTGCTCAATACTACTGTTGTCAGCAATACTATTGTAGTCAGCAGAAAACTTAAAACACATAGCCGACACCATTAATAGTTTTATGAGCTCCCCCTCAATTGAGCGACGCGACTTTGAAGTAGTTGGTCGATTTCAAGCTCTCAACAGTCTCTTTAAGCCCTTGGTCAACAGGAATGAAGTTAATTCCCAGAGATTGTGCCCTTTCTTTTGAGACTAAGTACTTGCTCGCAAATGGCTTGTCATCCGCACACCTGTTTAATTTTCAGCCCCAAGATTTAAATTCAAAAGCTTTATACTATAACTCAATCAATCAAATAACTAAAAGTCCTTGTTATTTCATTTTAGGATGCAAATGTAAATTGTTTCAGCTGTTACTAATTATAAATCTGTTTCTTTTGCAAAGAGTGCACCATCAATGTATGTGCTTACTTGGTCGGAATAGGAAGTTCAGGGTAGATTTGACGCATGATCTCGACAATTTCAGAGTAGTGTGCAACCCTCTCTACAGTAAGATACCTCCCGTTGGCAGAAGGATTCTCAAATGCAAGAATATGAGCTAATGCAACATCTTTCACATTCACCCACCCATAAGTTGAATTGGGGTATGTCTCAGCACCTGTATAAAATTAAAATTAAAATTAATATTCCAAGTTCAAAATTTAGAAAATTTTGATTTTCAAACATTTTTATCACAGTTGTTTAACGAAAGAAATAAGTAATCAGTCACCATTAGCGAGGTTGAGGATAGCTTCACAACTTGTGTTGAGGGTAGGCTGCAAGAGAGGACCAATCACCATAGGTGGGCATATCGTCACCAAATCGATACCTTTCTCTTTCACAAACTTCCACGCGGCCTCCTCCGCCACCGTCTTCGACAGCACGTACCATTTCTGAAACAAATTTCACTTCACACTAGTTAGACTCTGATATTTCAATTACCATTTTTCTTTTCTCATAGATTGGAAAAGAAGAATTAAATTTAAAAATAGAATTACCTTGGCATTTGCGCACCATTCAGGGTCGGACCACCAAGTCTCGTCAATAACAGTGTTGGGGCCGCGAGGGGTATCATTGTATGCGACTGAAGCTATGGATGACGTCAGCACTACCCTCTTGACCGTTGGTGCTTTGGCCACTGACCGGAGAACATTCAGTGTCCCTTTCAACGCCGGATCAATCAGCTCCGCCTGGCGAAAACCATGTATAATAAATAACATTATAGTTTTAAGCATAATAATATTAACACTATATATTAATAGTTCTAAGCCATTGAATTGAATATTAATAAATAATGATATAAGATGAAATAGTAGGAACCTGAGGGTCTTTAATTGCATGGTAAAATGGGGATGCAATGTGAAAAACACCATCACAACCAGCGACTACAGAGTCAAAAGAGCCTTCTTCGAGTAAATTTGCTTTCATCAAGTGAAGTCTCTCCTTGGCTCCTTCAAGGGACATCAAGTGCTCTGTCTTCTTCGGGTCATCTGCAACATTAATCAATTTCTCCATATTTATTCCATTTTTTATAATTATAACACGAAAAGGGATTTTATGTAATTTATTCGGAGCCTAAAACACAAAAAGGATTCGAATACTAACTGGTGTCACGAACGGATGCCTTGACTGTATAACCCCTCTCGAGCAAGAACTTGACAATCCACGAGGCAATGAAACCTGATGCTCCTGTTACACACACTGTCTTCATTATTGCAACCTAAAAAGTAGTCGCTCTTTCTCAACCTGCTTTAATATTCTCTATCTTTTGTGTGCTCTCTCTGTTTGTGTGTTTCAACCATGTTGAGTGACCATGGCCTTTTATAGAATGTGATTGGGGACCAAATTGTAATTTCGTCCTTCAACCGTTTTGGGTTAGTAAAATCACGAAATGGCCCAATAAAAAAAAAGAGGCCAGAAATTTTGGAACTCTATATTGTTTCGAGCCTTTTGTACTGTGCTAAGATCCGAAAATTTATTACAAAATCAGACATAATTCAAACCAAAAGCCCACTGATGTGACGTGCCTTGGAAGGTGTGGAAGATGAAAATTGTGAGTTTGTGACTTTGCAGAGTGGGGAAATAAAGTTGATTGTATTTCAAAATATTTTTAATATCTATAAAGATACATATGTATTCGTACATAAACTACTAGTACAACATTCGTGATTAAAGAAGTGCTAGTAAAAAAAGTTATACTTGGGTTCTTTAAAAAGGATGTTAGAGAGATTTTTTTTTTTAGTTTAAATTTAAATATTTTTTCAATTACAATATTATTTATATTTAAAATGTGATTTTTCACTTGTACGATTTGCCTATTTGATATTATAATATTTTTTTAATTCATATGTACTGAATTTATAGTTAATTTCTTTTATTGATATAGAATTTTATTGATTTTTAGTTATTATTAATAGATGATTAGATTTATAATAATAAAATAAATTTAGTTATTTTATATATGCAATATGGATATCAAATTGAAACTCATCAAAAGATAATTAATTTGATATATTATATATGAAAAACTAATAAAAATAAAAAAGTTATCAATTTTTAAATATTTTTATAATTTAAGTTAGTTAACTGATTTATAATTTTAAAAGTCCGATTATGTATGGATAGAATCGAGGTATGCATCGACTACTTGAAGCATTAGATAAATTGACGCATAGTATTACGAAGTATCAAAATTCAAATATAAAATTATGAAGCAAATCCGAACATTCAATATTTACATAATGGGTTATCGGAAACTATAATAAGATTATCTAAATCCCCGCATTGAAATAAAAATAGATAATGAAGCTTGACTTAAATAATTGTATCATAATTTCCACCTTATTTCTACGTGTGACCAAATTATGAAAGCTCGATGTTTCGACAGAATAATAAATCATATAGAAAATAATGTGATTTATCATTATTAATCTTGTATTATTGTCACACAACGATTTAAATTTCCCAAGGCGGGTCGGCAAAATAAATAATCGCTCCTTTTTTGGACCCATAAAAAATGCAAACTAACTTGGAAAATCCACCGTTGGATTGACTCTGGCTCTTAAGATCGAGCCACCTGTTGTAAAATTTTTCTCGAGACGTGGATGCTACTCCCTCTATTAGTGGTTGTTGAATTTTCTTTATGGTCCAGCCACGTAGCACAATATATTTTCTAAAAAGCCTGTCTCTCTTTCTAAATTCCAATCGCGTCAAGTTTTTTCTTTTTTTTTTTCTTTTTTCTTTTTTTAAATGATAGACTTTCATTAAAAGAAAAACACATAATTACAAAATAGAAGACAGTTAAACAGCCGAATAAGTCAGCTATATAGCTGAATCTAGTTGGGAAGACAAACTTCATTAGCAGAAAGCCCGAGACAGCCTAGAACTAACCCAACTGATCAAGCTCAAACTTACATTATTTCCAGTTGGATAAATTCGAGATTTGATTTATTTTTAGGAAATAGATTATAATTTTTTTTTAAAAAAAAATTTGTGCTTGAAATTATGTAAACAATGTGATTAGCTTGTATTATTTTTACACTATTTTTTTTTTCTTTTATATTTTGATGAAAAATTCGACAGTGAAATATTTTAATATAAATTCAAACATATATTCTAATGATATAACTTCTATTGAAATTATTCCAACAAAAATTATAACAAAATTATTTCATTGGAATAAGTTTTCAATTGAAACTTTTGTTGGAATTTGATGACTATATTGATAAGATTTGAGTGGAAAACATATGAAATAAATTTCATCAATTATATTTTTACCCCAATACCACATTTCAAATTGCATTACAATATTTCATTTGAAATAATTAAACATCAATCTAGAAGTAAAGTAAAGAATTCTTCATACTTGTAATGAGTCTTTTATGATTGATATGAAAAAATTAAGCTCATTAGACATTATGATTCATTAAACTAGAATTATTGACTCACCATATTAGAACTATTCACCTGATAAATTACCTATCGAATGAATGCATTGACGGCAGTAATTTGCATAAAAGTATTACTAGTATTCGATCATGTGCACATACACACAGGGGCCGATGTACATTCATGCTGGGGGGCCATAGTCCCCTCAAACTTTTTTTATTTCCTTAGAATTATGTATATATAATATATAATAATATGTATTTTAATTGTTTTGCTCCCTTAAAATATAAACTAAAGTAAATAATATATTAAATAAAAAAAAGTCAAACAAAATAACTTTTTTTTAGGCGCACGATTCAGACTCTTTTCCTTTAATAAGCAGTAAGCATATATAATATAATAAATTAAATTAGTTAATTATTCTGTAAACCATTAAACAAACAATTAAAGTAAACCATATAAAAGGCAAAAGAAGTTCACATTTCGGCTACAGAAAATTTGAGAGAGCACGACTCGACGGACGACGAGCAGTCGAGCNTAGGATTTGAGCATTCATCTTCTTCCGATCGGATAATTGTATTTGTAAGTACTTTTCTTATACCTTTATTTATGAAATGTGATATTATCTATGTGTTCCTTTTAGTCATTTAGCGTTTAATCAAGTTAAATGTATGACCCTGCAGGTTTCAGGTTTCCTCTTCGGCTTGAGCCTCATTTGAAAAATTTATATATATATATTGAAAGGCAATTAAATGGCTCATGGCTATTAGGTAGTAAAATTTTTTAATTAAAACCTTTTTTTTTTTAAGTCTAAAATTGCAATTTTATGTCTTGTTGTTAAGTATATGTCATTATATATAAAAAAAATTGTCCCCCCCAATTTATTTTTCTAGATCCGCCCCTGCATACACAGATGGTTAAATTATCATAAGTTATATGTATGTATATAAAATTAAAAATATAAGTTAGATAGTAGTATTATATTTTAAAAATTCTGTCATTAATTAAAATGAACAATATAAAAGTATTCAACTTCATCACTATATTGATTGCATAAAATAAAATAGATAATGTATTTTTTATACATTTGAGAGATCCTAACCTATTAATTATATTAAAAGTATTATTATTATTATGATTATTTATGAAACTTTAAGATGTTTGGTTATACTACTAAATCAAATTAAAATAATAATTAAAATTTTTAAGATATTTGGTCAATATTACTTAAAAACTGAATTATCGTGATTTTCGCCAATTAAAATTATTCTGATTCGATTAGTATCCAGACAATGTAATTAGTATCACAAAAATGATTAATACTAGCCAGTAATGGTTTTTGGTGGGAAAGTGTCACGTAGATATAATTAAATAGGTTTTATTTAATGTTTAGCCAGCAATTATATATACTAGTATTCGACCACACACATTTGCACATATATAAATAAAGTATTATTTGTTATTTGCATGCAAAAAATATTAAAAATTATAAGTTAAATAATTATATTATATAATTTTAAACATAGAATATTATAAGTTATATTTATGCACATAATATCAAAACTTTAAGTTAGATAATGGTATTATGTTTTAAAATTTGATCATTGGTTAAAATAAATAGTACATTTGATTTCATATGAATCATTATATTAATTGCATAAAATTTAATAAATAATATATGTTTAGAATTTTGAGGGATCATGACCAACTAATTAACTGAAAAATATTAACATTATTATAACAATTGCTTATACAATTTTTAAGGAATTTTACTATGACATTAAAACAAATTATTTTATTTAAAAAACAATCACTTAATTAGATAAAAAAATATGATATTGATTTTAGAATAAATAACTTGAGCAAATTGTTTTTACAATATAATATTTTATGTATATGTAACTTTCATATATTATTTAGTGTAAAATATAATTATTAATTTTAATAATAAATATTATATGATTCAATAAAAAATATAATTATTACTTAATTAAAATAAAATATAACGGTTTTATTCTTAATTAACCAAAAAAAATAGTGCAATAAAATATTTTATCATTAACGAGATATGGTGGATTAATGCCACATAGGTAATATTTATTAGGTTTTATTTATTATAATTTATTTAATGATTTGCCACATAGGTAAAATTTATTAAGTTTTGTTTAGTGACTTGCTAGCAAATATATATACTAGTTTTAACCCGTGCAATTGCACGGTAAGCAATATGATAGATAAAATAAATAATAAAAATTATAAACAATAGTAAAAATCATAACATAATCATCTATATAACAATAGTAAAAATCATAACATAATCATTGGGAAAAAAGTATTAAGAAAGAAACTCTTAATATTATTATACACGAATTTATATACAACGTTCGTGGTCTTCGTATCATCAAAATTTCCATTACAACAAATCATTACCTCCAAACCCTCCGACTTGTAACTATAGAAAGCGCCACGTACAATTGTCCATGACTAAATACATGGCTCTTCAGTAGTAGGCCGACGTGCAACAGAGACTGCCCTGACTCTTATTGATTGTCATAGCATAGGAAACCATGAGCGGGAACTATCTGCGCTGAAACTTGAAAGGTACCCTCAAATAAGATGGTATGATTGTGAGCCTAGGAATAAGAACATTATCACCAGCTCTGGCATCAGTTAAAATTCTACATTCGAGGACATGGCTGTTGAGCTTAGTAATAACCGAACGTGTACCTGCTGACCACAAAATTCGGACAACAAAAACATATAACTCGAATTTTTACAAAAGTCAAAGATAATATAGATGATAGATCAAATTTTGATCAACGGTACCGTTGCACAACCCCATGGAGTGATCAATATTTCTAAGCAACATCACTGGAGTGACGACCTTCAAGTGCAATTTATGATTCGGAAGTTCTGAGCACTTAATCTCGTTGAGAAATTCAAGAGTATGAAGATCCTGAAAAGAGTCATATCCAACGTCTGATTTGCAAGGGGTGTCCGAACTCAAATAAGTCCTTCCCTCGGATGAGTTCAGTGAG